TACTTCTGGCGCCAAAACCTAATGCGCCAGACCGAAGCTAAGTCCCTACCCCTTCCTACCTACCTGACGGGTCCTACTAGGCCCGTGTGGGATCTACATATGCCCCCCCCCCCCCCCCCCCCTTTGAAAATCCGAGTCTACCAACAAGGGCGGAGCTGTCGATCGGAGGGAGGGACCGTAGTCCGGGTGGGACGGTTAGCTTGCTGATGTGAAGCTTCGGTTGCTTCAAGCCAAGCATCGGCGTAGATGTCTGGTGTTAAAGTGTTACATGCCCAATTGGGCGATGTACATAATAAACTGAGGATCCGCAATGTGATAAAAAAGGACTGAATGGACAATGCAATGCAAGTGAAATCTCAACAAGCAGTGTACATTCTGATACATACAAAATGGTGCTTTATAGCGCAGTGGAAGACTTAGATACAAGTCCTGACCTGACTGGTACTGACCTCTATTACGTAGTGTAAGACAGCGCGGCAAAATGCTAGAATACCAATGACTAGCCCAATCAATTTTGCCATGTAGACCAAACATACATCATCCTCATCACAAGGTGTGAAGGGACCTGGCGGTATACACAGGAAGAAGGCGCTAGGCCCAGATCATGCATAGACGAAGAGGAGGGCAACGAACGAAGAAGAGGGGGAGAGATGGGAATGTCGTCAACACCAAGTCTTCGTTACAAGTCCCAAATAATCCATCGTCAAAATGTTTGAAGGCCAAATGTCGAGTCTGGATCCAAATGTCACCAAGCTCTCTCTTTCTCTCATAGTCTGCTGATGGAGTGAAGTCAGGTAGCGAGAGGGTGAGAGGGAGATGGTGGACTGAGAAGAGGAAGAAGAAGAACTCTCTCTCTCTCATATGTCAGGTACTAACATGTGAAGATGGCGCTGTGTTGCAGGTACCTCGAAGGCGAAGCTGGAGCTACGGCGCTGCAGGTAAGTATCCCTGGCCTCCGCCCCATCTCTCTCTCTCTAGTACTACTCTAGCTCATATGGCGCCCAGCACTGAAGACTACTGCTAACGCTACTAGCGCCCAACGCTGAAGACTACTGCTAGCGCTACAACTACTCCTGCAGCGCTCCTCCAAAGAGTGCTGCTGCCGAATCCTGAAGACTACCTCCTGCCTCTTGAACTGCACATGAAGTGCCTGGGAAGTACCTAGGAACTACCTACCGGCCTGCAGGGCGGGCCAGTCCTATATAGTGCTGGCCCGTCTAGGAGGCTGCTCTTGCCAATGCCGAAACATGCCAGACCCTGGCGTTGAAGCTCAACTAGGGGTTGTCTTGAAAACAGGCCTAAAATGGCCTGTGCTAAAACCCTGGTTTGTTGCCTGAGTTTCAGGGCGTGTTGGACTGATGAGGGCGTGAAAATGGCCCTCAGTTTCAAGCTGAAAATACTTAGGGCCGGAAAGGCCCTAATTTAGCGTGAAACGACACAGGGCTTGTAGGCCCTTGTTTTCAGGCTTTCAGGCTGAAACGACACAGGGCCTGTAGACCCTTGTTTTCAGGCTTTAGGCCTGAAAACGTCACGGGCGTGAAAGGGGGCCTGTGCAGCCTGTTGCAGGTGCAGCATGTCACACCCCCCCCTCCTTATGAAGTCAAGTCGGGGCGAGGGCGAAGTTGACGATCTGAAGGTGGAACGTGGATGCGGGTGAGACGTGGAGCCGAAGATACCGGTTTGCCTTGCATCTTGCGTTCGTAGCGTGCGAGAACATCCGGAGCTGTTGCTTGGAGCTCCACACGGGTCAACCAACGGTCAACTTTGTGACTGTAGTATGCAAAGTGTACCAAGTACTCGGTTGGCCTGTTGCCGTAGCGCCGCTGGGAGATGATGTCGCCGACCTCTTGAAAACCGTCCATAGAGGGTGGGTCTTGCGATCGTCGCCCGGGAAAATGGTCATGTTCCGCTCGCGTGTAAAGAGCGAGCTTTGAGCAATGAAGGACCGGGTAGACGGGCAAGTGGGCGGGCACCTGAATAGTGAAGGAAGGTCCCTCGGGTGCATCCCCAGCGGGTGCCACGATCGGTCAGGGCCCCATCCATTTCGGGAGGAGCTTGCGAGAGATATCTTGTTCAAGGCTGAATTCCACGGCGGAAACCCAAACGAGATCGCCAATGCGAAATGGGCAAGGAAGTCGCTGGCGATTGGCCTGTTGGCTCATGCATTGCTGCGTCTTGGCCATCTGGTCGCGTGCCTTGACAAGTAGCTCTTGCATCTGACGCAAGAAAAGAAGATGGTCGTCGCTCTCGGCCGTTCATGGAATGATTGTGTCCAACGGCGAAGTGACCGGCGAGTCGTGATCGAACTCGAATGGCGACATCCCGATAGCTGGGTGGATGGACGAGTTGTATGCCAACTCGACATCCGGCAGCCGCTCAACCCAATCCTTTTGGTCGGGACGGATGAGAGTGCGAAGGAGAACCTGTGCGGTTTCATGCGCCGTCTCCGTTTGGCCATCGGTTTGGGGGTGGCGGGCCGAACTTGGCTTGAGACATGAGCCTCATCGTTTGATGAGCGCCAACCAAAAATCAGAGATGAACCGAGTGTCGCGGTCGCAGATGATTTCCTTGGGGTAACCCTTGGTTCGTATCCAACCGGCGTAAAGAACCTCCGCCAACTCCGGTGCCTTGGCATAATAGCGGCAAGGCAAAAACATGGCAAACTTGGTGAGTCGGTCGACCACTGTGAGAATCTCATCCACACCGGTCTCGTGCTTGGGGAATGGTCTGATAATGTCCATGGCAATCGCTTCCCTTTGGCGCAAGGGGATCGGTAGCGGTCGCAACTCGCCGTATGGACGACGATTTGCAACATCAGCAAACCTCGCATGACTTGCAATAGCGTGTGACGTCGTCGAGAAGGCCGGGCCACCAAAATCGCTCGCGAAGTCCGCCAATGGTGCGATTGACTCCAAAGTGTCCGGTGGCGGGAGCATCGTGGAACTCGCCAAGAAGCCGTGTACGCAAGTGAGAGTCACTCAGTACGCAAAGGTCCTTCCCCCGCGTGTGGACAAGCAAGTACCCCTCTTGGATCCGGTAATGAGAAGGCGCCGGATTAGGAGAGGAGCAATTCGCATACTTGTCTCGAAACTCGGGGTCGGCTTTGTAGCCGCGGATGAAGTTGTGCCGCAGGTCGTCGCCGATCTCGAAGATCGAGTAGACTGCGGTACAATGACTACGATGTCGTGAAAGAGCATCTGCAAAACGGTTCGACTTCCCCGGAATATGATCAGAAAGAAGTCAAATCGGTCGATGAAAGCCATCTATCGGGCGATGGTGCTATTGACGGTGTCTTGGGTCTTGTAGAAGACCAACGGATTGTTGTCCGTTACCCATCAGATTGGCTTCGACCAAGGAGGAAGTGCCACCACCGCTTGAGCGCGTGGACGAAGGCGAGGAGCTCCTTCTTGCATGCATCATCAATGGAGTGCACGACGGGCACTTTCTTGCTGAAGTGCTCGGCCGGGTGCCGGTCCACGCCATTGTGTTGTTCGAGGACGACACCAATGCCATAGCCGGACGCATCCGTAGTGACGCGCATAAGCAATAGCGGGTCGTAGATGCGCAAGACCTCCGCAGATAATAGCGCGGCTTGGAGAGCCAAAAATGATTCTCGCGCATCCTCTCCGAAGTCAAACGACCGATCCTCGCATTGAAGCTTGGACAAGTGGACCGCGATCTTCGAGTATCCCTTGATAAAACGTTGGTAGTAGCTGGCAAGGCCAAGGAACGAACGAGCATCCGTAACGTTCCGCGGCTCCGGACACTCTTGGATGGCTTGAATCTTGTCCGATAGCGGACTGATGCCCTCCGGTGTGACAAAATGGCCCAAGTATTCCAGCTCTTGCCGAACAAATTCGCTCTTGTCGCGATTGGCCTTGTAGTTGGCGCGGCGGAGCATCTCCAACACTCGTCGAAGGTGCTCAAGATAATCCTCCAATGACCGGCTATAGACAAGAATGTCGTCTAAGTAGAAAAGCACGAACCGGTCCAACATCGCATGAAACTCGTTGGTCATTGCCGCTTGAAAGGTCGTCGGGGCGTTGGTGAGGCCAAAAGGCATGACCACCCACTCAAAATGCCCGTACCGCATCTTGAACGTGGATTTGTAGCGATCGTTCGGTCGGATTGAAATCTGATGGTATCTCGACTTCAAATCCAACTTAGAGAAGTACTTCGCGCCGCCCACTCGGTCAAGAAGATCGTCGATGCGAGGAAGAGGCCCCGCATTCTTGACGGTTTGCGCGTTGAGCTTGCGGTAGTCGATGCACAATCGTAGATCCTTGTTCTTCTTCCGTACGAAGAGAACTGGCGCTCCGTATGGAGAGCTACTAGGGCGGATCCAGCCCTTGTCCAACAAGTCGTCGAGTTGCGCGCGGAGGACGTAAGCTTCTCCTCGTTCATGCGATAAATACAACCTTTCGGCGGCACGACACCGGCCTCAAGAATGATCTCGTGAGAGATTGGTCAATCCAGCACCACACCGGTAGGCGACTCAAAGATGTCGGTGAACTCGTCAAGCAACCGCACCACGGGGGTCCGAAGACAAGTCCATGAGTGAAGAGTCGGCTACCGCGACGGTCCGTAGGAAGTATAGGCCGATTTCGTCGGGCTGCTTGTAAGCACAAGTAGCCCGGAATGACTTGGCCGTCACCACTTGGCACCGAATCGAAGGGTGCGGAAGAGGAATAGTACACGACACTTCGGCGCCGAAGGCGTTGCGAACGGTAAGAGTCCGCCGGTGGAAGTTGACCGTGTGATCCGCACTTGCAAGCCAAGGCATTCCCAAAATAATGTAGAAGTATGTGTCCAAAATGTCGAATGTCACCGGTTCGCATGCATGAGGTGCGAAATACACCGGTACGGCCTCGATGTAGTGGTTGATAAGCTGCTGCGTCCTTCCGTCCGCCAACTTGATCGGCGTCGTGTTTGCCTTCCTTCGAACTTGTGCACCAAGGCCAGCCTTTTGCATACAGGCATAAAATTGCGAGACGCGCCGCTATCCAGCAAAGCGCTGCAGGACGCTTGCCCAACTTGGATGCAGACATAGAGGAGCGGTGCGTTGTTGTCATCGTACCGCTGCTTGCGAAGCTCATGGGCCACCTTGGTAACATACGCAAGGATGTCCCCCACCGCGACTTCGTCATCCGTCGACGAAGTTGGTGGTAAATAGAAGGATAAGTACTTGTGAAGATGAGCGCAGAATGCTGCGCATTGCAGTCCCGACAAGCGGCCCGTGGCCGGGAGAGGAAGCCATGCGAAATCCTCGGACGTGAGCGGGTCCAATACCTCTATGTTGAACTCGCGCGCAAAATCTTGTGAAGAACCACTTGAAGACGACAAGTGGCCGTTGCCGGACGGAAAAGATGCCGCACACACGTCTAGTCCTTGAGCATGAGTACCCAGCGTAGGAATGAGCTGGGCAGCATATATCGACTTCCGCATGTGCCTCGAAACGAAGGGCGGTCACTCGTGAAGTGACCGCCGAAGGCATTGAGAGTGTCGTCGAGTCACTCCCGGAGGTGCTCAGTTTCCCGATTTGCCCTTGCCTTTCGGACTGAGGATTTTGGACCGAAGTAGCAGAAAGAATACAAGGGTGCCATAAGGAATGGGGGTAGATGCCTTAAAGGTGGGTAGGCCCTCAGAAGGACGCGAGTCCTGGTCGATTCACAAGCCGGAGGGAATCGGACCCTGTGACTTACAGCTTACTGCTACGCCGGTCAGATATCGACGACACGTGAAGCAGATCCAAGACAAAGGAGTGAGACAAGGGTGCTATAAGGAATGGGGGTAGATGCCTCAAAGGTGGGTAGGCCCTCAGAAGGACGCGAGTCCTGGTTGATTCACAGGCTGGAGGGAATCGGACCCTGTGACTTACAGCTACGCCGGTCAGATTTCGACGGCACGTGAAGCAGATCCAAGACTGAGGAGTGAGACAAACATTGGCACTACACACAAGGACAAATGCAGCACGAAGCAAGCGCACGCCGTCAAGCTGGCACATTCACGACTAGAAAAAGAGGATGGTGTACTCGGGAAGACGAACTCTGGACTCGGAAAAACGTGTGAAATCACAGAGTATCCAGGTTACCGCGAGTTATGGATTTGGCTCAATGTGGATTTATTTATTATCTACGTATTTACTTATTTTTCTTTTTTCGTTTTTTTCTTTTCGACTCAAAGAAACGTGATCCTCACGGAGTAGATGAGTCGCGAGCGGATATTTAAGAGTATGGAGGAGGTGCTTTGAAGCAGACTGAGCAGATTGAGGTAGAAGGTCTGTTGTGCATACCAGTCTCGTGCACGCTATTGCACGGACCGGTTTTGTGCACTCACGATGTAGTTTTTCTGTGATACTAAAACCTCAACTACATTGTTTTTGAGTTTAATCTCTCGATGGACCCGGGTGAACGACTCGTCGGTTATGCCTTGTTACGCTCACGTGGCGCCATATACACGACTCCTTGGAGTGAAAATCGTTCTAGTGAATGTAATCATTCTAGTGAGTTGGATACGAGTATCCGGACTTGATCTATTAAGTATTCATTCATTTATTTATATATTCTCATCCATGTCCATGCGTCGGTGACGTCTGAATTCGTCTTTGTTGAGGTGTACTACTACTCTGCTTGGCGTGAATTGATGTTGCTGAGTGACGAGCCAGAGCACGCGTGAAGACTTCAAGCATCACCAAGCGTCACCAAGGGACGAGGCGGGAAGATCGTGGACTTGAAGCGATTTTGCATGCAAAGGCGCGGCAGGGGAAGGGATCGAGGAAGAGGGAGGTGGACAGGGGACAGGAGGTACTGGATGGAGTATCAATCGACACCACCGGCTACTACGCCGGCAGTCGCTGCGGTACAGAATCCGATTCCGCCTCATGTTCCTAATGAGGTCCAACAACCGATTGGCTATCCTCCTCCGCAGTACCCATATGGATGGGTGCATCCGATGCCTCCACCGCAGCCGCCAGCAATGCAAGGCAATTGGAACTATGGGCAGCATGGTTACTCGCAACCTTAGTATCCAGCCGACAACGCGTTCCCCGGACCCGGGAATCGCGCATGGTTCACGCGAGAGCACTTGGAGCTGATTCAGAAGTGGAAAACGAGAGATGCGACTGAAGAGAGAAAGAAGGAGGAGACGGGGGAAAGCAGTAATAGTGTCGGGATGAAGAAGGAGAAAGGTAAAGGGAAGGTGAGTGTGGGATCAGAGGACGGTGAGAAGAACCTCGAAGCATGGCTTACGGAGAACTTTGGGGTGTCGCTGAAAAGGGTATCCGAGAAACTTGATGTCGTTGACAAAAAAAAACAAGGAGGTGGATCGTAAAAACGAGAAGCTCGTAAAGAAGTTGGAAAGCCTAGAAAGGGTGCCTAAGAAAGAGGAGGCAAGCAGCAGCGAGAAGCGGAAACGAGTGATCGGGGTGAACTCACCTGCTGTTGCAGAACGCCACAAGTTGAGATCGCGATCGAGGAGTGGTGGAATCAAACTCCGGCAGCCATGGATCGAAGTATCTTCAGATGACGACGACGAAAGGAAGAAGGCGCAGGAGGCAACAATTGAAGGGCCACCCCCAGAGAATGTATCATCTTCGAACAACGTCAACTTGGAAGACGTCATGAAGATGCTGGCTATCATAGCCGCGAAGACTAACCAAGGAAACGAGAACCACGCTGTCGAGGCTAAGCCAGAAGATGAAGAAGCGTCGAAAGGAAGCCGGGCAACAAACCCCGCATCCACTGAGGAGAACAATGATGACTCTGAAGACGAGGAGGGCAAGCTCAAAGTCAATCGAGGTGGAGAAAGTGGGCGTGTCGAAGTAGGAATCGTTGAATATATGAGACAGCAATTGGACCACTATATGGAAATAACGGGGAAGAAGATCAAAGGGTTGTGCCTCAAAAGGGACGTGAAGTGGGTACAAAAAGATAAGAGCGCGTGGGAACTCGCTAAGCAAGACACAGAGGAGTTCACAAGACTGATGAACGGAGAAGGGGAAGAAGAAGAGGCAGCGAAATCTGGACAAGAGGAATACGACGACGATGAAGAAACGGACAACGCCGAAGGTCAAAAGATCGTGTCGGGGAACTGAACATCTCCAAGAGAAGCCTACTTCGATCTCTCAGAAGATTGAGTGACGGAATGAGGAAATCCGATGGCAGATTGAAACGAGATTTAGAAGTAGCATTCCGATTGGAACTGATGCTCTCCACTCTTTTGGGGTACCTGCCATGGGGACGAACATATATGAAGTATTGGAAGAATATCCCTGCTGGGAATTTTTTAGACATAGGGAATACGGAGTCATGCACATATGTGTTGATCTCTCCCTTATGTTGGGCAGACGAGCCGGGTACTTAGTGAGAGGTGGAGGGAACACACGCACACGGTCGAGAGAGATCCTGTGTACAAGGTACATAAATGGTTAAAAAAGCGAGGGACACACACATACACGAGTATTCCACTATGGGTCGGCGCACGAGACGAACTTAAGAAGGTTGAAGCAAAAATCATTGGTAGCGAGAACCCTTGCTTGAATATGAGAAAAAATAAGAGGAAGAGCAAACCTCGCGTAGCAAGGAAAAAGAGTGCGAGGCAGGTGAGCAGACTGGAGGAATGGAAAGTAATCTCCTTTAAATCAGACCTTCCTGACGATGTCGAAACAGTGAATTTGCTAAGTATTCTAAAAAGAGCAAAAGGGACTCGTAGACCAATCGTAATAACGTGTACAGGGGGCACACAATGGGTCACGCCTTGGAGACTTATCCGATTGGTGTATGGCGAGTCGAAATTCCAAAATGAGTTTGGACCGTGTCTATTGAAAGATATGAAAGAATTTTTCCAGGAAAGGGGGGAATGCGTACTGACTTGTCTCGTGAAAACTGCGTCTCAAATGGATAGACGGAAAGCGGAACTAATCGCCATGCTGAGAGCACAGTGGAAACGACGCAGCATTCTCAAAAGCACGGACGACATGAACTTATTGTGTCTAGTAAAAGGTTTGAAATGTATCACTGCAAAACGTGGGAGGCAGATAATTCGGAGTTTGATTACAAATGAACTAGAGAGAAGAATGGGAATAAATCCAAGAAAGAACTGTAATTAAAATTCCTTTTTGTGAATCAATTGACAAACGACGCGTTGAGAGGGAAGCATGTGAGTGGATCAAGGAAAAGGTCTATCCTAGGGAACTCGCTGACCTGATGCAAAGGAAACTACGAGTGGTTTGGACCAAGTCGAAATCAGTCGCATATATCTTGCATAATCACAAGGCCACAGCCGCTGGATCCGATCCAATGTGCCAATGCCACTTGTTTGAACTGCCCAAAGTTGACGGGCATGTATAGGTCAAGATGAGTGAGATTCCTGAGATAGACCCCTTCCTATATAATTCGAGAAACATACCATACCCTGGTAGAATTGCATGTTTGGATTTGATCAATGTGGCCTGCAGGAATGGATTGAAGAAACTGAAAGCCTTGGGGATCACCGAGGAATTCAGGGTGAATCCGGCAAAGATAACAAGATCCCAGTCTGAAAAAATAGACGGGAGGATAACCGCTGAATACGTACACAGGGTAAAACAAGCATTTTCGGGGCTCATGATGTCTCCTCTGGATCGCAATCCAAGGGCAACATTGATCGAATGCCCCACACTTTACCGTGCAGGAATGTTGAAGACTTCAATAACAACCCCGATTTCGAAATCATGAATGAGACCGAGGATGTGGTTCTCGGGAGAATGAAGAAAGAATTTCAAACAATGAAGTTGAACAGGATTGGAAGATGGGACAAGAACGGGAAACTCCAGGATGCATTTATTATGAGTAAAGATAAAGATCTGAATAAAAGAAAAACAATCTGCCCATCCTACGCCAGCCTAATGAGGTTTGTCAGTAAAACGCTGGTAAAGGCACTTAATCTGTTAATCAGAAGAAGTAAAAGCAGACATTTTAACCTGCTGGCCGGACCAGACATGAAACAGTTCTTGCAAAGTATAAATATGAAAGCAACCAAAGATCAGTTGTGCGTGGAGGCAAGAACATACGATATAAAAGAAATGTTCTCGAAAATACCGCACCAAGATAAAAAGTGCAGTATGGTGGCTGTTCGAGGAATTCAAAAGAAAAGGACAACACTGGGTGAGGCTGAAAAACAAAGGGAAAGGCGCAACTCTGAACAAATCAGCTGGTGAGCCAGGATGGAAATCTGTGAGACTAACTCAACTCAAATGTATGGTAGATTTTGTACTGAGAAACGTTGTCTTTAAATCTGCAGGACGAATTTTGAGGCAAAACGAAGGTATCCCGATGCTGGGACAAGCAAGCCCACCACTGGCCTGCCTCGTATGCATGTACGCTGAAAGCAAATTCCTGAAGTCGCTAGGATGTGATGCAAAGCTCATAACAGGGAAAAGATACGGGGACGACTTGTTCTTGGTGGGCTTCTTCAAAGGTGGAGACGAAGTGCATAAACAAAGGATAAACAAAATACCAGATAACATATCCAACTGTTACCATAAGGGACTTCGCTTGGGATGAACCGACAACGGAAGGAACATCCTATAATTTTTTGAAACAAGGATTGTTGTTCTCGAGGACCCAACCGAGGTAATCAGTATGCATAAGTTCAAAAATGACGAAAGCGTATGGAAAAACCCCGAATAGCCAAGATATATGATTATAAGGGACTTTAAATCATTCACATCGAAGGAACAAAAAATTGTGACCATCATTGGGACCATGCACCGGATACGAGCAAATACCACTTGTGAGGCACTGATTTCGACGGCCATGATCACTACGCACAGGGAATTGAAAGGGGCAGGGTTTCCTACGAAAATCGTTATGAAGGCATTGAAAATTATGGTAGGGCGGGTGAGAGGATTTTGGACCGAAGTAGTAGAAAGAATACAAGGTTGCCTCAAAGGTTGGTAGGCCCTCAGAAGGACGCGAGTCCTGGTCGATTCACAGGCCGGAGGGAATCGGACCCTGTGACTTACAGGTTACTGCTACGCCGGGTAGGCCCTCAGAAGGATGCGAGTCCTGGTCGATTCACAGGCCGGAGGGAATCGGACCCTGTGACTTACAGCTACGCCAGTCAGATATCGACGACACGTTGTAGGGCCAAACCCCGGTAGACTTTTGAGCCTTAGTCGACCCCACTGCGGGTCCCAGTTGGCTCGGCCCGCCCACACTCATGCTCAGGGCGTGGGCCATTCGTCCCCGGGTCACCCCCACCTAGTGCTTTGAGATGGATGGGGGTGGGCCATTGCGCGAGAGAGCTTTGACATTGGGGATGTAGCTCAGCCCTCACGCCGGGTGGTAGTCTCGCTGGTTGCTCCGCAAGGCTGATTTTTTTTAATTCTTTGTTGTGTTCTCATGCAATTGTTCCTTCCAATGCGCAGGTAGTCCAAGGATTCTTTGAGTGTTTTCTCTTCTCATGTGCGTAGGCTAAGCGTCATTCTTAAGCCACGCACCATTTCCCTAAGCATTGTGGCTATATGGCGTCATCGGGGTGCGGCGGAGCCGTCCTCTCCCTCGCCTCTATGCATCCATTGGGTCTCACAATTTGCTTCCTTCCTTATTGAAGTAGGCCCCTTAGTCTTTTCGGGGTCCTCATATGCATGCACACGCAACATCACATTTTCCTTGGTACAATTGCACTCTCATTTACACTCCAAGTCTTCAAGCGCAAAAGTCATTTCCATGGGTTGGCTCTATGTCAAGGGTCCCATAGCCCCTTTGTCCCTCTTCCCTTTCCCTCTTGGTGCCCGGTTCCTCTTGCCCCTATCCCGCTCAAGGCATTTCTAGCCATCACTTACCTGCACAATCCCACACAAGCAAGAAGATCCATACAATCCTCCGTTGGGGGTCAACACATAGCCCTTCCCGCATGCCTATCTTTTCAAATTCTTTGGCTGCTCTTTGTTCCCTCTTGTTGCTCGATCAGCCCATTCTCTTCTCATAGTCATGCAGTTGGGGAAATGGTTGAGTCAAACTGACCTCACTTTCAACTTATGTTCTCTTCCGGATTTCGCCTTTCTCCCACTTTTTCAAACGTCCTTTCTCTTTTGTCTCCTTGGTGGCACAAGGGACTGGCTATCCTCCCTTGCCCTCTTTCTCCACCAAGTGAAGTCTGATTTCGTTTACCGTCCGTACCCTGGCAATGTTTTCAAGTGAGGGGAGAAGGGTTAGTCATATGCCAAGTGAGGGAACGGGAAAGAGGGAGAGAGAAGGCAAGGTAATAAAGGGGGGGCGAAAGAGGGGTCTAGAGGAGGAAGGAGGGAAAGGGGGAGAGGGAGAGAGAAGGTAAGGTAATAAAGGGGGGGCGAAAGAGGGGTCTAGAGGAGAAAGGAGGGAAAGGGGGAGAGGGAGAAGGAGAGAGAGAGGGGGGGATGAGGAGAGAGAGAGGAAAAGAGGGGGAGAGAGAGAGAGAGAGAGGAAAAGAGGGGGAGAGAGAGAGAGAGAGAGAGAGAGAAAACAAGAAAAACTCCTAATCAAATCAGCTCCCCATAGCAGCAACCAAATGTCGATCACCCGTCCCATAGTGAGAAAATGAATAAGTATATCTTGGAATAACATGACAATGAGAAGCTAGACAAATGGAAAACCCATACTCATAGGGAAAGAGATCATCTAAACAAGATCCGGAACATCACATCAATCATGAACTTTGACAATGAGGGGCTAGACTAGTGGAGGGCACATACACAAAGAGAAACGACTACTCAGTAAAGTCCAGGACATCACATCCATCATGAACTTGACAATAAGAGGCTAGACTAGTGGAAACACATGCACAAAGAGAAGAGATTAGCTAAGTAAAGATCCGGAATATCACATCAAACATGAACTTTGACAAGGAGAGGTTAGACTAATGGAAGCAGATGCACAAAAAGAAGAGACTAAGTAAGTAAAGATCCGGAATATGAACTTGACAAGGAGAGGCTAGACTAATGGAAGCACATGCACAAAGAGGAGAGATCAACTAAGTAAAGGTCCGTGACATCACATCAAACATGAACTTGACAATGAGAGACTAGACTAGTGGAAAACACATGCACAAAGAGAAGAGACTAACTAAGTAAAGGTTCGGAATATCACATCAATCATGAACTTGACAAGGGGAGGCTTAGACTAGTGGAAAGCACATGCACAAAGAGAAGAGAT